AAAAAAAAAAAAAAAAAATGCCGGATTACAACGCGGTTCCTCTGTGTGTTGCAGTCTTTTTCAATTAGGGATACAACTGCAGAGCATTATTAATTCTAATTCATGCAGACGGCTCGTTGTCGGCAAAGAGTCACACCTCGGGCAGCGTCAAGATCACCAACAGACTGACCACCAAGCAATGCAGCACTGTTCAAAATAACTGGCAAGGTTACCAGGCATAGATGAGAAGCAAGGCCTTGGAGCACAGTTAATCCACGTAATTTGCGAGGGAACGACGGCGAATCAAAACAAATCCCGAATTAAATTAGACAGACAACTTCAAGACGCGCTAAACAAAGATGACGATAAAATCAAATTTCCAGTCTGCGGGACCTGGATCTGCCACCAAGCTGGTGAGTGCTGAAGAAAATAAAACTGTATTAAACTTCAATTCAGGCGCCTTACCAGCTGATAAACACGCGCATTGCCGTGATCATCCACTGAAACATAAAAATCATCGCCGCGTGGCAAACCTGCAATATATTCATTTTACTAACATACATTTACCTTCAAGAAAGAGGAAACTGTTAGCTGAGAAAATCAAACGCACCAGGTGCTGGTATGGGAACTGGCATGAACACTTTCGAGCCTTCTTTAAACTGCGGTTGTGGATGCTGCAGCTGCTGAAATATCTTGATTTGATATGCACGATAAGTCCAAATGAGAATCACTGTACGGCTAGCAACAGCTACACTTTCCTAATGATGCGCAATCACTGTGTGATAATGCACTCTTCAGAGTGTACCTGGACAAGGGACGTCCCTAATTTTCCGTGTTCACCCTCTATGGGAGGCCCAGCACAAAGTACGTGGTTCACCCTCCCTTTTCAGTTCTGATTCATGCCAATACACGTGCATAAACATCCCTTACAAATGAAACTTACAGGAGGCGGACGCGAGAAATGAAATCCAGCAATTTTCGGCAATAATTTGGTGGCTGCACAATTCGACTGATCTCTTAGCTCCTGCGCATCCATCGCCAACCGGCGCCCTTCGGAACAGGCAAATGATGAGCCTCTCACAGGAGAGATTTTAAAAAGGTCCAAAACGCAGGATCGTCTATTCTCTGCACTGAAATTCACACAGTGAGTTTCTTTAAAATTATAATACAAAAACCTTTGGCGAAGCCAGAACAATATTCATTCAATTTTTTTATCCAACATTCGACCTGAAGCAATTTTTAAGCAATTCTCAAGCTAAAAATTAAAAGCTCATTTGACAGCGCTCAGTGCTTGGTAAAAAAATACGCTTCAACGTTCCCAAGAAACTGCTGCTGCATTTCTGTAAAATGCACAGATAGCTCTCCCAACTGATAGAGTACCACATTGTGGACTTGGTGTGACAGGGTTCGGGACAACGGTGACATTTAATGTTCAATAAGTACATCTAAAACCGCTATTTACCAAGTGCTATTGGGAGAATTATAACTGAATTTTTACCCTCAACAAGATATGAAACAGTGTCGAAGTTGCTAGCAAGCTAACCATCAGACGATGCAGTACTAGTTGAAGTGACAGGAGAATTAGACAGTTCCACAGATGAATGAGATTAGGAATTACAGCTGACCCGGCTAAGTACTGCCGTCAGGTCTCAGACCGTCCAAAAAGTAACTACGAAACTAAGTAAATAAACTAGTTTAGTAGCTAGCAAAGAATGAAAAAACAATATTCTATCAAAACGGACAAGTGCAAACAGAGCTTTAGCTTCTACTCAATATCAGTAATGAAAAAACGACACGAAACCGTTCAAAAATGTTGAATATCATAGCCGGCAGTGTCAGTGAAAGCGGTTGCATAACAAACGGTGAAACAATAGGTCTCGGTTCGAAGAGGTTCGGGTGATTGCAACACTTTCGTAACTGCATAACAATATTCAACACCGACATTACACTGCCCGAGCGCAGGTTTTCACGAGTCCTGAAATTGGTGAAAAAATAAACTTAGACGCTTGAATCAGATCTGGTAAGGAGTAGTTTCTGAAAACAACGCAATAAATCTTAAAATAAACACAGACAAACGGAACACTGCCCACTTACGATCGCCTGGACATGAAATCGTCATACAAGCATCGCTGTCGCTTCGATAATGGGCATCTGATGATGTGTTCTGTTTTCTCGGGTAACTGCTTCTCAACATCGGTTTTCAGACGTCGCAAGATAAACGGTCGTAACACCTGCAAAATTTCTTTCTAACAATTTCCAGTGAATATGGGGAATTCTACAGATAAATCCGTACAAAACTGCTCACGTAATAATCAAATGACAGTTGTTACTGCACATTTCCACTATTGCACAAGACAACCTCCTCTTCTTTTTCGAACAACGCCACTCCACATTTTACAAATCCTTGCTAGTATCATTTAAAAAGAAAAAGAACACAAGGACTGCTTCAAATGATGCAATATTAATCCAACGGCAAAAGCTGGGTACAGGTGGAGGACTCGACTACAGAATGACACCTGTGTTCCAAGTATCATTTTTAAGCGCGACTGTAGGCTTACTGAGCGGAAGCAGATGTACAAAAAACGAGGTGGAAAAGAAGTCCGAAAACGAATTTCTGAAAACTGCTAGCATCTTTTATCACAAATGAAGGATGGATATACTTTGTGAAGTCTCTGAATCAGCGAAGCGTTCCATTCGGCATTGCCTTCCATCATATCAGTCAACGGATTGCTGAACCAGTCTTTGAAATCATTGTGCGATGCAAAGATGGCTGGCATCAGGAAGTGCATCAGTGACCACAGTTCCATCAGTGAATTTTGTAGCGGCGTGCCCGTCAGAAGCAATCGTCGACGTGCTCGCACATTCAACAGCGTTTGCCAACGTTGACTTTTGAAATTTTTTATATTTTGCGCCTAAAAAAAATGTTATTTCGACACATTTCTGGAACGGCAAAAAATCTGGTGTGATATAGTAGCAGAACATTTTACCAATATTTTGAAATTCTAAAATGCACGCATCTCTTACACCGCACGGTTTGCAAATTTAGCGCAAATAACTAGTGCAAAATTTACCTCATCCAGAACAAAATATTGCCAAGCCCGTTGCTTGAACGAACGAATGTCCTGGGTGACAATTTTATACGATGTAATGCAAACATGAAATGCGTTTACTTTCGCCCAGCCCTAAAAAAACATGCATGTCTGTGAAGAAACCATCAAGGAAAAAGTTCCTGTCTTGCATAACACATTTTTTCAAAGAAAGCGACATACACTGCTGTGTGACTGATTTAAAAAAAAAAAAAAAATGCACGGCCTACAGCTAGCTTACAGTTTTTTTGAAGGAGAGGCGATGAAAAGAAGTTACTAAAAGCACTGACAAAATTTATCCCAAAACAAGCAAGGGAACCGTCCTCTAACGAAGTCATTACTTACTCTAATAATTTGTACACTGGAAAAATTCCGAGTACCAACATGGAAAATTCCACAAAAACATTTAAAAGTAACAGCAGCAGTATTCGGAACAAATGGTACAAAGAAAATACTTTTCGCTTTTCAGCTCGTTCTTTCTGATTGCCAAAATAGGTGAGAATTTTCAAACCAGGACACCACTTCTTGAATTCCATCTCCCAATTCAGGATTACCGATGTGGGCACAACGATTAGATGTGGCCCCCAAACGTACTCCTTACATGCCAGATGCGCAAGCAGTGCTATCGTTTGGATTGTTTTTCCTGAAAAATCAGTATCTGCTTTTAAAAAAAGCTGCCTTTTTTCAAAAGTTCGTTCATCCGAAAAGAAATATTTCCAACTAGACATGCTAAGCCTAAAGAAAAAAATAAGAAATAAAAAAACGTCTGCCACAGCATTCACAAGAAAGCGTTTACAAATGACAAAAAAGAACTCTTGCAAATTTTGATCACTAGCACCCAGCACACTTCCTTCGGGGCCTGCGGTGGCAAACTGGCATCCACAGCGCCTGAGGCTCTTAGAAACGCGAAGCAAGCAAATGGAGAAACATAAAAACATACCTAAGCCCATTTCATCGGCCAGTATGCCATTTAAGCCATTTTCATACAAGGTGACAAGCCAATCCAGTCCAACCATTTGGTACTCTCGCAAAGTGCCTCTAATCAGATGCGGAACTTCGGTTTTCACTTGTGTCGTTTCCAGCGTGAATCCTTTCGGCTGAAACTTCAACGCCTCTTCAGCAATACTGGCCAGCTCCTTTTGTCGTATCTCACTGCTTTCCGAGGTCAATCGCTCATAATTTATTGCCGCATTCAGCGCATCTGTCGCGACATTCTCAACAAGTCCACTGTCCGCAGAGGCGGATGAAACGCTTTGCGTTACAGAAGCACTATGCTCAATCGAATCTTCCTCTGAAATTGAAAATACATATAAAATAAATAGCAACGCGCACCAGACCAGCTGGTGCGATCATGCGTTTTGTGTAATTCCGCCCACTGAACGATTGCCCATTAATGATTTTCACTGTTTTATACTTTAGTCTATGCAAAAATAGTTTAAACATTGGAGAAGCGCGAGAACGCCGAATTTGAATGGGCAAGATTGAGCGTGGGCAGGGGGTCAATACCCTAAAATTTCAGCCTCCTAGACTCCGTGGTTCCTGAGATATCAACTTTCCCGTAAAAAACTTTCACTGGGCCGTACGTGTTACCCGTGGGTAAGGGAAGGCTGATTTTGAATGGGCAAGGTTG